TCATATGCAAAGCAAGGAGTGTAGCAAAACATGTGAATCAAGCTTCTGTTCAGGTATGCACATTCACGCTTATATTCACCAATTTTATTTTCTTCTTTTATTTGATTTTTGGTGATTAAGCTTAAATTGATTTTAATTACCATATCTTTGAATAATAATAGTGCCTCTATTACTGAGATATGGCAAGTATTATGCGTTTCTGTATAGTGGGTGTCCCGAGGAAGCTCCTTGTGATGGCCTTGATGCTTGTTGTATGAAGCATGATCAACGAATGCTAGCCAAAAATATTACATTTCATTTCTCAATCCATGAACATGAATAACGGCCTTATGTAAAATTTTTCAAATTTTCTATTGATTAGGCAAAGCTTTGAGACTTTTTGATTCTAACATGATGTTTATACATGCAAGATATATGGCACAATTTCATAATGAGCCTTTGGCCATAGCATTAGTAAGGCTTTGTTGACATTATTACTAGCATAGAATAATAGCATAATTTAACTACAAGTCAGTTTCTCCCAACCCTAGCTCAACTCTTTCGTCTCTCTCTCGATTTCCTTTAGTTCTCTTCTGTTTTCTGCTTCATTTCTCAACTTATTACAGCAAAAATGTGACCATATGCCACAGTGCATGGCACAAAGAGCCTCTCCCAAGCGTGTTGTCATACATGAGCTACGGTGGCTCATCCACAAGTCATGGCACATGGTACAAAATCTTTCTCTTAAAATTTTCTTCCTCTTTCATTCTCAGGTAACCCAATTCTCCTTCGGACTCATGTTTAAGGCTAAAATTGGAACCACACACGCCCGTTAGGCCTCTCTGGCTACACACCTTACTAATACACACTTTATCAATCTGATTAGGCTTATTTAATCTACTTTAAAATCGAGAATGTTACAATTTTTACAAAAACATTGTATTAATTATAAATAAACATATTCTCTTGTTGTGGATGCAATCACTTTAAGATATCTAATTAGTTTGGCAGTACACAAAACTTAATATGCGCTTAATGGATTTTATTATAGCGCCTAATGGATGTTATTATAGCCTATTTATATGGCTCTTTAAATACAAAAATTTATATGAAAATCTCTAAAGGATTCAAATTTCCATAAGCATGTAAAGATTCTCAAAAAATATATGCAATTCGTTTGTATAAATTTTTGTATAGACTAGAACAATCTAGAAGAATGTGGTATAATTATCTTAGTGAATATTTGCTAAATAAATGTTGTAAAAATGATCTAATCTCTCCATGTGTTTTTAGAAAGAGAAATGGGTCAGAGTTGTTATAATTGCTATTTATTTAGATGATTTGAATATAATTAAAACTCCTAAAGAACTTCAAAAAGAAATTGATTTCTTAAAGAAAAAATTTAAAATGAAAGATCTTAGAAGAACAAAATTTTGCCTCACTTTACAAATTAAGCACGTAGCAAATAGAATTTTTCTTCATCAATTAACTTACATTAAAAAAAATATTAAAGTAATTTTACATGGACAAAGCACATTAATTATCTACATTGATGGTTGTAAGATCTCTTGATGAGAAAAAGGATCATTTTCACCATCAAGAGAAAGATAGAGAACTTCTTGGTAATGCTATAGGTGCACTGATGTATCTCACTAATTTAACAAGACCTGATATTGCATTTACTATGAATTTATTAGCAAGATTTAGTTTTTTTCCCAACAAAAAAGCATTGAAATGGAGTTAAACACTTATTTTAATATCTTGGAGGGACAATGGATATGTAATTATTTTATTCTAATGAATTTGGATCAAAACTTATTAGTTATGCTAATACAGGATTTTGATCAAATCCACATAAAAGTAGATCACAAATTAGATATTTGTTTATTTGTGGGGGTATAGCAATATCTTGGCGTTAAAAAAAATAAATTTTAGTGCAACCTCATCAAATTATGCAGAAATAATTGCCATTCATGAGACAAAAAGAGAATATGTTTGGCTAAGGTCAGTGATCCATCATATCCAAAAGATGTGTGGTTTATTATTGAAAAAAAGATTCCAAAAATATTATATGAAAATAATACAATGTGCATAGCTCAATTGAAAGGAGGATACATTAAAGGAGATAGAACAAAACATATTTCTCCAAAATTCTTTTTCACTCATGTCCTTTTGAAGATTGGTGATATAAATGTTCACCAAATTCATTCATGTAACAATCTTGCATATCTATTTACTAAGACACTGCCAACTTCGACATTTGAGAAGTTAGTGTATAGTATTAGAATGCACAAATTCAGAGACATAAAGTGATAGTGTTATCAGGAGAAGTGAAGTGATATTGTTATAAGGGGAAGACTATTGGAAATAAATATCATGTTGTGCTTTTTTTTCTTTTTCAAGATTTTGTCTCATTGAGTTTTCCTAGGAAGATATTTAATGAGGCAACTTTAACGAGTGTTTAAATATATTGTGTACTTTTTTTCCTTCACTAAATTTGTAACCCATTGAGTTTTTTAAGTAAGGTTTTAATAAGGTACAATGTTTGTTATGGATATCTAAGGGGAAGTAATATAAACATTATGTGACATATTCTCATAGCTCATAACTCTTAGGATTTATTTATTCTTAATGTCCTAATGAATTACATAGAAAAAGTTTCTTATTGTTAATAGCCTATAACTTTCAAAGGTTACATAATGCATTATTATATGCCTCTTTATGTCTTTGTAATATTAGGATTGGACTTGAATGATTGGAGGCATAAATAAATATCATGTCTAAAGCATATGTACATAAATGAATAAGAATTCTCCTCCATTATTTTCTCTTTTATTTTTTATATTATTTTTTTTTACTTTTTATATTAACTATATTTTATAACAATGGTTCCTTTTTTAAAGAAAAATAGCATTGAGTAGCTTTTTCAAGTCATAAACAAAAAAATGAATGAAATTACAAGGATTGAGGGATTAATTTTCAATTCTTTATAAACACAAACAAAAAATCTAGTGAGAATGTCAGTTATGTCTCAAAATATTTAATTAATACCAATTAAATGTCTGCCAAATTTTTTTAAAAATAAATTTAAAATATCAATTCAAATTATTACAAAAGTTTCAATTATAAATAAGTATTTAAATGTGGAATATAATTTTTAGATTGTAGCATAAATTTTTATTTATAATTGTTTGAATTAATATTTATAATTATTTTGTAAAAATTTTATTAAAAATTTAACAATTATTAATTCATTTCCTTAGGATTTAACTGTTATTTTTCTAAAAATTTATATATTTCGCTCCCTGTTCTGATTGGAACTTTGTGTGACTCACGCTTTTAGCAGAGAACTGGGCCGCCCTTGTCAACGCATTTCACATGGTCGTGTCCATCTCTGTGGCTTCCTTCCAACTATTAATAATTCAACTTCCGTGTTGTCCTGTTCAATTTCTCTCTACGTGGCTTCTCCTCAATCAATTTCTCTCTACGTGGCTTCTCCTCAATTCTTCTAACTTTTTTTCTCTTTGTCTTTATCACATAAGTTCGATTCTGATACGACAACAATATTTTAGGTGGACCCGGGATAGATTTGAGCATGTAAAAAGTTGAACAAAGTAGCTTTTAAATTGAAGGAAAAAATGTATAAGAATGACTTTTTTTTTAGAGTATTTCTAATAATACAATAAAATAATAATAATAAAAATTTTTAAAAATATATAAATGGTAATTTAATTTTTTAAAATATTATAATTTTACTGAAGTGGCTAAAAATTTTCTGTTATTAATAAATTCATATAAATGATCAAATTATTCTTGTTGAGAATAAAACAATTCACAAATTTTATTTAAATAATCATAATTTTTTTTATATTTACAATAGTATAATAGCAAATCAAAAATTTTACATATGAAGTTATAATTTATTGTTAGTGAATATAAGAATAAAAGTTGTGATTATTTAAATAAAACTTGTAAATTTTTTTATTTTCAATAAAGATAATTTAATCATTTATATAAATTTATTAATAACAAAAAAAATTTAAAAATTTTAATAAAATTATTATATTTTAAAATATTAAATTATTATTGACATATTTTAGAGAGATTTATTGTCATCAAGAAAAGTGTCATATAAGTTATAAAATTTATTTATAATATCTTATGTGATGCCACGAGCTGACGATTGGTTTACACTTACACGCCATGTATCCATCATCCTCCATTCCACTGAAAAGACATTTTTTAAAGCTCAGCCAAAACATGCAAGCCTGGGCGGACGCGATGTTCTCTTCACAAATTTGAAGTTGAAATCTCCTCCCCACGGCCCAAAAAAGAAAACAAAGAATTAAAGTTGAAATCGGATTTGGTGTAAATGGGTAGAAAAGTGTAAAAAAAAATTTAAAAAGAAAAATAGGAGGAAAAGTATCTTTTTTATTATTTTTAATTTTTTTAATTTTTTTATTCTTATTTTTCACCTCATTCAAGCAAAGAGTCAGTCTCCCCAGCCTCCATTTTACATAAGGTCAGTCTACCCGATGATGAGGATGAGAGTTAAGGAAGATTTAATTTTGTGTTTGCAATTTAGATATTAGAAAATTTATATTTTATCCTTTAAAACCTAGATTTGTATTATTCAATTTGAACTTTAGAACATTTTAATTTGATAATTTAGAGTTCGCATGTGCATTTCACAAATTGAACTTCATAACATCTACTTTTTTTTCTCCGTTAGAATTTAGGTAAGTATTGTGAATTTGTGATGATATAGGTTAAATTCGGGGGGAAATGTTAACAGAAAATATTTAGGCTTTTATGCCTCAGCTTAAGCTCGATCGATTAGGATCAAGTTTTTTTAAAAATGACCAAATTAGGTAAACAAGACATTTTGACATGAGCCGATACAAAACCAGGAAGGTTTTCCCCATTTTATTCACAATATTAGTTGGCCTTTTCGTTGTAAAATGAAAATCTAGGGACCAACGAGAACAACTATAAAAGAGGTATTGCCTCCAATTACTAGTCACTTTATACACAACAACGAGGAGAAAACATGGAAGCAAAGAGAATGCCAAGTGTGATGCTAAATTCAGGCCACAAAATGCCAGTTCTAGGTTTAGGAACATCAGCAGATAATCTTCCTCCAAATGACACCCTAGTCTCCATCTTCACGGATGCTATTGAAATGGGTTATCACCATTTTGACAGTGCTTCTGTCTATAGAACAGAGGAAGACATAGGGCAAGCTGTGGCCAAAGCTGTGAAGCAAGGTCTTATAAAGAGCCGTGATGAAGCTTTCATCACTTCAAAGCCATGGAATACAGATGCACATCCTGATCTTATTCTCCCATCTCTCAAAACCTCACTAAAGTAACTACTATCTCTTTTCCTTAGCTTGCTTAAATTATTCTAACAATAGTGGGTTTGCGTTCCTGTTTCTGTTTTTTTTTTTTTTTCACTAATTGTTGTCAACTGATCAGAAATCTAGGGATGGATTATGTGGATCTTTATCTGATACACTGGCCAGTAAGACTCAGACATGACTTGCAAAACCCCGTGAAATTTTCAAAGGAAGATTTACTTCCCTTTGATATAGAAGGGACGTGGAGAGCCATGGAAGAGTGTTACAGATTGGGCTTAGCAAAGTCTATTGGAATATGCAACTATGGAATCAAGAAACTAACCCAACTCCTACAAATTGCGAGCATCCCTCCTGCAGTTCTTCAGGTATCCATAATTATGCGACATAGCCTAATGATCGGTTAGTGTATTGCATGATGAACATGATGGTCATGAAGATGATCCCAAATGGGTTTCAGATAGAGATGAATCCATCATGGCAGCAAGAGAAACTTAGAGAGTTCTGCAAGCAGAAAGGGATTCATGTGAGTGCTTGGTCATCGCTCGGAGCTTATAAGGTATCTTGGGGTTCAGGGGCAGTCATGGAGAATCCAATCATACAAGAAATTGCCACGGCCAAAAACAAGACCGCAGCTCAGGTAATTGAAAATCATGAGCAAGATGACGATCATAGCTCAGGGAAAACACAAACTTCCACTTCCCCTTAGTAAAAATGACTGAACTAGTACTTTCAGAATTACAATAAAATGCTAATGCTTTCTGTGGGTAATTTCATCAAACACCCATCATGCACTAACCAGACAAAGGCTTTTTGATTCAACTGATAGTAGCTATATCCATATCAAGACGACAAAAAAGTTATAACGAAGCGAGTATGTGAATCGTTTCAGGTTGCACTGAGATGGGCATACCAACAAGGATCGAGTGCGATGGTGAAAAGCTTCAACAAGGAGAGGATGAAACAAAACCTTGAAATATTTGATTTTGAGCTGAGCGAGGAAGAGATGGAGAGGATGAAGCAGATTCCACAGCGCAGGCAATACACAGGTGATATGTGGCTATCTGAAACCGGATCTTACAAGACATTGGAAGAGCTTTGGGATGGCGACGTTTAATTCTGATTTGTTGTGTGATTGATTAAAGTTTAAATAAACTTTGAGTTGCGATTTCATGTATGATGAATTTGTCATGAGTTTATGTACCAGTACGCGCCAGAGCAGTCATAGATCTATCTCTCTGGATGGACCTGACCTTCGTAGATTAATAATTAAGGAATAAGTGCTTTAAAGCCACCGGCTATGGTGTAGTACTGAAAACTCTGTCTTGAATCTTATCTTCAATCTTCAGACCTCCATGTCAACCAGGAGGGACTTGGCTTTCCTCCGCGACTTCCACTCCTCTCCTTCCCTTCACTGCACCAGGTCCAGGTTTAATACTGTAATTTTAATTTTATATAAATTAAAATAAAAAATTATATAAATTATAAAAAAATTAATAAATCTAAATATTGTAATTTTAATTTTCATCAACAGTGACAATCCAAATTTAATATTAAAATTTTTTATAATTTATATAAATTAACTATCTAAATATACACAAGATTTAATATTAAACTTTTTATAATTTTTATTATTAAATTTAGATTATTTATATTAAATTTGAACTAAACTGATAATTAGATTTATTAAATTTTTTACTTTAATAAATATAAAACAAAAATAAAAAATATTAAATTTAAATAATTCAAACCTTTACTTAATGCAGTTGAGGGGTGGAGAAGGAAAAGAAAAGAGGAGAGAAAAGTTTCAATTAGAAGGATGTTATTTACCGGGGTTGGGTTTTCTCCGCTGAGGTGCCTCTCCTCGAGCTGGGATCTTTCCTTTTCCTTTTCCTCCCTTTTATCCTCCATTTCTTTGATCCTAACCATTCAATTTGTGAGGCTTTGATATGATCACGCAAAGCTAGCGCCATGTCACAATCTCTCTTTAAAAAGAGAAGAAACCATAAGAGTACGGTATTTTTGAAAATATCCAGGACGATACAGAGATTTTTAAAAAAATTCAGGACGTTTAAGAAGAAGAATCTAGTATGTGCTAAAATATTTTAAAAGCATCTAAAACACTTTAAAATAATATGAAGAAATTTAAAAGTTTTTAAAAGTTTTAGAAACTTAGAAAGAAAGGTGGAGATGTTTAGAATGTTATAGAATATTCTAGAATGTTCTAGAACATTCCACACATATCTTAAAAATTAGTCTAGAAATATCCTTATAAATATCTAGATATTTGTTATAAATATTTTTATGAAACACTTTAGAGGATAAATGTAAATAGTAAGATTAGATTGACCTTCATCATTCATTAAGGAGGTGAAAATTTTTTAGCATTAAGGGAGAGGCCTATAAATATCCTCACAACCTCTCATTTGTAAACAACAAAAAAAGTAATCAAAGTTTAAAACTCTTAAGTTCTTTCATTCAAGCTTTCTTCTCTTTTGTATTCAAGTTTCCTAATTTCTTTGCCTACATTTTGAGAGTTCGACTGACTTAGCAAAGATCAAGAGGTTGATCACGCTAAAGCTGACACGGTTTAATAATTGGGGAGTTCTAAGATCGTGACAGCCAGTTGTAATTCAACATATCATTCATAAACAATTTGGTCTTAAAAAACGGTTTTGGTTAGTGTATGAAAAAAAAGGTTAACACTGCATTATTTTTATAAAACTAATCCTATTACATTTTTTTCAAACATTAAAGTATTCCTCTTATCCTATTTTTTCAAATATATTGTTAGAATATACTCCCTCCATTTAAAAATATAAAGTATTTTTAATCGAATCTCACCTTTCAGTAAAATAATTACCTACTTTTAAACTAACCCTATTTTTTTATATTTACTTCTCTTAAACACCCGACAATAAATATAAACTCACTATCAATAGAGGCACTTTTAAAAAAAAGTATTGATTACACCTTAAAAGACTAAAAATGTCTTATATTTTTAACATTCAATTTTTTAAAAAATACCTTATATTTTTAATGGAGGGAATATATATATTTAATAGGGATAAAAATGATAAATTACTTCTCTAATTTTATTTATAAATCACTTTTAATATATTTTATCAAAACCAATGAAAACTTTCAAACTCATTAACTCTGTTTAAAATTTAAAAATTTCTCATTTTATCTCCATTAAATATATACTTTAACAACATATTTTTTTCTCATTAACATTCAATGGAGGACAAATAAAAAAAATTTAATGAGATAACTTATAGATAAGACAAAAAATCTTATTTATCTACCCTATAAATAGGATCAAAGGGAGTATTAAATTTTTAGACATAATTAATAAATTTTTAAATTTTTTTAATTTTAGTATAACATATTAAGAGTGACCTATAAATAGTAGTAGAAGAGTATTTATATAAATATATTATTTATAAATTTTAAAAACTGTTCCTACCAAAAAGTTAAAAACTGTGTCAGGGAGTAAAACTAATTTTTATGTTTTTTAATCAATTTATACATTTAAAAGACATTTCAGTGGGGGGAAATATTAATATATATATATATATATATATTTTCAATCAATATGGTAAAATCAACATGAATTTTGCAATTAAAATGCAGGACCATATGTTACCGGAAGAACATTGCATGAAAAACGTAAAAATTGGTTTACTCACTGTACAGTTTTTTAATTTTTTTGGTAGGAAAATTTTTTTAAATTTATAAATAATATGTATTTTTAAATTTTTTAAATAATATATTTTTATATACACATTAATATTTCCCCATTTTATTTTTTATTTATAAATAAAACGACAGAGATGAAAACAAACATTCAAAGATTAAATTTATAATAATTTCACTTTAAAACACAAAAATAAAATTTAAATTAAATATTTTGAAAAAATGTAATAGGATTTTTTTTAATAATGCTGTGTTTATTTTAATAAAAAAATCCAATTCCAAAACCTTTTTTTTCATGAACCAAAAATGTTATTAGATTTGTTTTTCTTAAAAAAAATAATTAACGCTGCTATTTGAATGGTATAAGAGCTCCATGGATTCAATGGTTAGAATTAAAGAAATGGAGGAGAAAAGGAGGAAAGGGAAAGGTGAGACCTTTTGCCCCTCCCCTCTCACTTTCCTATACACAATTTGGTCACCTAAATTTAATTTTTTTATTTCAATTGTTATTTTCATTTCTTAAATTTAAAATTTAAATTTTTTTAAATTATCAATTTAGACAGTTCAAATTTAATAATTAATATAAATGATTTAAATTTAATATTAAATTTTTTATAATTTTTATAAGATGACTATGCAAATTCACTCTAGAAGGTGCAGATTTAATATTTAAATTTTTAATAAATTTTATAAATTTTATTTTGATAATGTAAATTAAAAATCAAGATAATATTTTAATATGAAATTTTAAAAATATTTTTAAGAAAATTATGAGTTTAAAATTTTAAATCCAAAGTATTTGGCATAGATCTACATAATCAATTTATAAAAATTAAAAATATTAATATTAAATTTGGATAATTCATATTAATTTTGAATTGTCCATGCTGGCAATACTACATGTTTTTTTTATAATTATTTATTAGAAAATAATATCAAAATCTCTCTAAATTATATAATAATAATTTGATCGCTTAAAATGTTATAATTTCATTAAAATTCCCAAAGACCTTTTATCATTAATGAATTTATGTAGATAACCAAATCGCCTTATAACAATATCATAAATTCAACATGCAAAAGTGTGATTTGCTGTTTTATTGTTACAAATATAAAAATAAAAGTTGTGATCATTCAAATAAAATTTGTAATCATTATTTATTATTTCCAACACTTGTAGCAATATTAGGATTTTAACTTGCAAATTTGTGATTTACTGTTATATATTACAAATATAAAAAATTATGATTATTTAAATGAAAATTATGATTATTACTTATTATTCTAATTCTTGTAGCAATATTAAAAATTTGATATGTAAAATTGTGATTTGTTGTTGTGTTGTTGCGAAAATAAAAAGAAAAGTTGTAGTTATTCAAACAAAACTTGTAACGATTACTTGTTTTTTCCAACAATTGTAACAATATCAGGAATTTGATATGTGAAGTTTTAATTTACTATTACATTGTTATGAATATAAAAAAAGTTGTAATTATTTAAATAAAACTTGTGATTATTTTATTTTCAATAAGGACAATTTGGTTCATTGATAACAAAAAAGTCTTTAGAAACTTTAGTGAAATTATGCCATTTTGAGGGATTAAATTATCATTTATATAATTCAAAAGGATTTTATTATCATTTTTTCTTTTTTTATGTTAATAAATATAATATAAAAATAAAATTGAAAACTTTAAATTTAAATTGTATAGATCTAGACAGTTTAAATCTATAAAGCACTGATACTCCAAATTGCCTCAAATGTTCGTATCGGTATCGCATCTAATACTGATACTTGTCAATATTCTTTCATATATCCATAAAGTATTGAAATAATATTTTTAATTTAAAAAATTAATTATTAACTTGTATATGATACTTCTAGATTGCAAGTCAATTCTTTAAAGCTGAAAATATTTAAAAGAATTAAATTTTTTTAAAAATTTTGATGTTAAATTTTTTTATTACTAATATCATTTTTGGATTTACTTTTATTTGGATGTAATAAAAGAATGAAAATTACATTTTTTTTTAGTTATATAACCATGGAAATGTAATTTATGATAATCGACAAGGTAAAGATATTAATACTATATTTATTAATAAGGACTAAACAATAACAATTAGATATAGATAGAATGAATTACATTGACGATTATATTTTACTTAATATTATTATGAAGAACTGTATATGTATGTTAATTGATATTTTCTAAATTAAAATTATATTTTTGATAATATATATATATATATATATGTATGTATTAAAAATGAATCGCATCTTGTATTTTTTAAAAATTAAAATATCAGTATATTGAATGTGTATAGTATATGATATGCGCACTAGTAAGGCTTAAATCTGATCAGGTGAGAAGGAGTGGCAGTGGGGTTCACGAGAGAGCAGAGAAACCGAAACCGTATTTTATAGATAGTTTGGAAACTTGTCTAATATTTTCAAAAGTATCTTTAGTTAAATGCAATAAATTAATTTCTAACACAATTTTATTCATTTCTTACAATTCCTCTATCCGCCGACGAAATTAATTCACCCAAGAAGAACACGCATTCAAGGGGCTCTGCCTTTTTTTTTAGCAATAGTTCATTCCATAAAAACTTCCACAAGGCTAGAGAGAGTCCAGAGACAGCCCATATGAAACAAAAAACCAGCAAAGACGGAAAGCCAGAAATGTCATAACGTAACAGAACAAAAAGCTAGCAGGAAAGCAAAGAAGAAACAACGCAGCAGAAATCATCCTACTGATCATAAAATTTAAAAATAAGGATGGAGAGATCATAAAATTTTTAACATTAGGTCCTGGTTATATAAAGAAATGAAATGAATAGATTAAAAAATAAAAGTTAAAAATAAAGATGATTAAAATGATAGGTGATCACATTCACAAAAAAGATAGGTAATTTAGTTAATAGAGTTGATAATCATGATTGATGAGATTTTTTTAAGAGATTGATATTTTTATATTATAATATATATTAATGAGATTTATCATACTTACTATAAAGAAAAAATGTAATTTATTTCATTTTAATTTTAATCTTTTTACAATTAATTTAATTCAATTCCTTTCTAATAACTAAACTGGAACTAAGCCATGAAAACTTTCAGTGCCATGTACTTATATCTAGTTGCTAATTTTTTTAATTGATGGAGGAAAAAGTCTTATTGAAAGTGGCGACTGGTGTGGTGAGTTCAGTGTTTTTTCTTATTTTTTTCAGGGAAGAAAGAGTTCCTTTATAAACGTATTGTGATTTAATTAGACTAAATTGTAAATCATTTTTAATTAACTCATGTTTACAAAGAAAGGAAAACTGTCCAACCTAAAAAACTTATGTCGTCAGTCAAAACAACGAAATGGAGTTGTTAGTATTTGGCTATCGATTTTAATAGGAGAGAATAACTCACCGGTAATTTAAATATAGAAAAGTCTTT